CACCCTATGACTTTATGTGTGTGCCTATCGTGGAGATTTTCCTTGTCACACAGTAGATGGCCTGTGTCGTTACCACTTTGACCCAGAGAGTGAATGTTGGGCTGCCTCATTATTCAGACCTTTGGTGCTAAGTATCTGACTTTCCAAGAGCTTACTTACTAGACCACACTGCCCTCCATATCTGTAAAGGACAAGAGCTGTAGCCCTTGGTGGCTCCATTGGGCCTTGTCTGTTCCCACACTGCCAGGTTCAGGAAGCTGGCCTCTGGTTCCTCTTCAGCAAGGGATGAGTTGTGAAAGCCACATGGACACATTTCAGCAACTGTGCAGTCACCTGGAATCCCCTGCTTCTGGTTAGGAAGTCAAAGCTTACCTTTGTCCAAATGCTTCCCAGCACCTAGCATTCAAGCCTGTCCATGAGCCCCTGAACTTGTAATGCTATAACACAAACTGGGTGAACCAATGTGGACGAGGCATACTCTGCTGTTTGTGTCCTGGGGAATTTTTCTGTCAAGTCTAGGGAATATTCTCAGGTGGGCAACTCATTCTAGGATGAGTAAAGGGCTTAATCATCCCCGGAGCCACTGTGTAAGAGCAGAAACAATCAAATGCTTCAATGTGTCTAACAGTGCCGGACAGTGTTTTTTTTTTTTTTGGGTGTCTCATTGAGGTACTTCAGGGGGATCCAGATAGTGATGAGTTTAGATTCCCATGACATCTTGCCTTGATGGAGTAGCACTTTGTCATTAATCTCTGCAGGTAGACAGCTGGTTTCTGCAAGGTGGGGTCAGAGAGGGAGAAGTAGGGACCCTATAAGCCAGGAGACAGTCTTGTTAAACAGCCCCAGATCCAAATAGCATTCTGAAGTAATACCTTGTTCTGGTGGTTTGTAAACTTGGATTCTGCAGCACTCTAGAATTCCTTGGATATCTGCCAAGTAGTTCTGTGCCAAGAAAAAAAAATTAATGAGCTTCTGCAGTTCTTCATTCCAGGAGGGAAGTGATCTTGAGATTCATGGGTGTTGTCTTGACGAGCCTTTGGTCCCAACACTGAGTAGTGGGAGTGCATAGGTCAGGCTCCTGTGGGCACGGCTCAAAGCCAGGATTGTGGAGAGAGAAGGAAGCAAAGGAGGCCCGGTTATGCTGAGGTCAGGGGGTGGAGAAGAGATGTTCTCAGCCCTCCTTGAAGCTTTGGGGGAGAAGTTTCAGTCCAGAACCTCGATAGCCCAAATCCTAACATTAGAGTATGCCATGAGACTCCAGAAGAGAATTATCCTGCAGCTGGCCATTCCGCCTGAGAAACTCCCCAGTTTTTAGACAACTGAGGAGTAGGAAGCAGATGGCTACTTTACCTAACTGAAGGCAGGTGAGATTGCCAGGAAGCCCGGCTCCGACTTTGTTCAAGGAACCTCAGGCCCAGACCAAGACCCTACAGGATCAGAACTCACCAAAGTGGGATCTCAGAATCTCTGTTCTCAAGTTTTTACCTCTGTCCCTTCCCCCTTTTGCTTACACACAGTAAAATTTGAGAACAGCTCCACTGAAGTATTAAAGTATACACTCTTCATTAATTACAATGTTTTTCCTCCTTGTTAAATGGAATTAAATAGCCTGGAAGCCAGTTTGTTGCTAAATTACCACCTGACATCATTTTTAAGTAAAATGATTGCACTGCCCCTTAAGCAAGTTGTGGTCTATGTGATTCATCTTTATTAGCTGATCTGAGGGGTCAGTGAGTCAAAGTTAACTTATTTAGTTATATTTCTTTGGTAGAAAGGAGCCAAAGCAGATGTATGGTTTCCCCCTTCCTACATGTTATACCTGCTTGTCTCAAAGTGAGTAAGCTACTAACTATCAGCTGCTTTTAAAGAAAAACCACACAAAAAAATCATCCTGGAGGCCCATCAGGGTTTGAACTTCAGCTGAGCAAAGCTCGATCACTTCCGTTTTGACTGTGTGTTGCTTTCTTGCTTCTACTGGGAATGAGAAACAGGAGTTCAGAGGTTCCCGGGCTGGGAAGACATAAGCACACGGGTTATGGGAAGCCTTCTCCTGCTAATGTGTATTTATACTTTGTAAGCTCTGATTCATCCGAGCATTGGAACACAAATCTGCTTCCTGAGGTTCAGTTTTTAAATAGATAGTTTGCAAAAACAACAATTATTTTTCTTAACATTTTTTTCCCCTCACCACACAAGCAGCTAAACATCCTGGCTCAGACTATGTCAGTCTTTAACAATGCCAACAAATGTCTTGGTTGTCTAAGGTAGAATGGGGCCCCCGAGGCAGTTCTTTGAGGTTCTTGTCCCAGAAGCCTTAAAAACAAAATTTAGAAGTCATTAGGACAATCTGGTTGCATCACTTCAACTTCATGCAGTGTTTCTGGGTGTACTAAAAGTAATGACTTTTCTTTGGTGAGCAATTGCTTTCCGGTGGTCGTGAGAAGGGCAAGCAAGGTTGGGGGTGGGTGCTTGCGGGGCTGTGCCTGTGTGGTTGCCTGGCAGTCAAGGAACCTAACACCTGTATGGCATCCTCTGAGACCATGTCAAAAGGGTGTGGCTCCCTTGCTTTGGATATATATTCTACCTGCACTACTTGCTCTTGCATGCCAGGTACAACCTTTCTGGCATAGAGTGTGTTTCTTTCAAGTCCAAAGCAGCTTTTACAAGTCTCAAATTATGTATCATTATGCACGGGTCCAGTATTAACCTGTGATATGCAAGTCAGGGAAATTATCTTAGAGTTAAAGGCTCTTAAATCCAGTAAAAGCCTTGAGTGGAAGTCTGCCCATAGCCTCCCCAACCCACCCCTCTAAAAATGCCCACACCAGAGTACCAAGGGTTAACTTCTTTATACTCAGAGCAAAACCAGATACCAGCAACATGAAAGTGACAGCTTAGTTTTAAAGTCATGTTGCCCTGGCAGGGTTTGTGTGGTTACTGGTGACTCCAGGGGAGGCACAGGTTTGCAGCTGCCCTTCTAATGACTACTCAGGCAGTGATACTGACTGTCCCCTCTGTGATTAGCATAAGGAGGTTGAAAAACGTCTTTACTTCATCCTCACAGAGACATACAGTTAAAAAGTCTTCATCCCAGAGTCACTGAATGCTAGTATACGCAGTGATCTTCCCAGTCAAAGGATCCCAGAAGGGCAAACTGAGGCCTCAGGAGGTTTGGGGGTTGTTAAAACAGCAACAACCAGGGTTAGAACTTGGAACCCCTCCTTCCTGGGCTGTTTGGTGTGCTTCATCTGGGAACTTACCTGATTTATGTCAGGAACCAGCCTTGGCTGAGATCTCCACAAAGCACTGTGATCAGTGCTAAACAGGAAATAAACACAAAGGCTCATGGGGGCTCCAGGGAAAAGACACTGTGACATACCTGAACTACATTTACCTCGATAGTGGCATCTCTGAGTTGGGAAGCAATAGGTGCTTTCTGAATCACAGATGAAGTCTCAGCCCTTTGGGCTGTTGCTTTGTTCTTGGGAAGTTTCAAACTTCCTCTTCAGGTTCTGCTTCATAGAATTAGAAAATGAATTGCAGGAAAGGGGTCCTGAGAGGAAACACACAGGTCTCCATAGGTTACATCTTTCCCTTGCTTGTATGCGCATGTAGTTCTGTACACACACACACACACACACCTGAAACTTCATGGGCATTTTCAACACTGGTGCCACTACTGAATCTGCCTGCTTCCCCGATGCAAGCCTCCTGTTGGGCTATCTGGTAGTAGCAGTTACACAATTAAGCCTCATCTCATGTTCCCTAAGCATGTCTATCTCATTTGGAAGGCTCCCTCTATATTATAGTAGAAAAATCGTCTTACCATTTAAAATTACTACAATCCAGATTGAGTGAATGAGCCAAAGGTAGCTATGTCCAGCGGGTCACTGATTGCTATAGCTGGCTGCTACAGACATGTAGCAACTGCCAGGTTGCTGCTCTGTTTTCCCTCACCAAAATGCTACTCACTCCCTGTGTTCTCCCACTCAAGCTGGTGAATTAGAATCACCCCCTTGAGTCATCTTTTACCCATCTGTTTGTAATGTGAGTTTGGTCAGACCCTCTCTCTGTACCAGGTATCCAGGAAGGAATGATTTGGATAAACTACATCCTGTCATGAGAAATATAAATCCTCCAAGTTCAAGTTAGAATACTCAAATTCTCCCTATGGCTTTGTAGTGTTGGAAATACATTTTAGAAAATTCATATCACAATGCAGAAGCATAGAGCAAATGTGAATGGCCTACAGGCTTGAATAAAACTAAGGCAACATACCCCTGGGGTAAAGGAAAGGGAGCAGGAAGGGGTGATGGCAAGAGGGTCAGGCCTCATCACGCCCTCCTTTCTCCATCCACACCCAACCAGCTCCAGCTTCCTGTGAGCTCTCATTTGGACAGCACTGGCTGTAGAAGTTACCAGAGAGGTTCTATAATATTTCTTCCAGCACTTCTGCTTCCACACTAGCCTGCCTCGTCATTTGACTGTTACTCTCACCCTCTTGGTGTGCAAGCAGACTTATGCTCAAAGGCAAGAGCTTTTGGGCCAGACTTCTTGATTCCAGTAACAGCTCTTCCATCCACATTTCCACTTTAGGAATTTTCTCCCACTACAGCCTTGTTTCTGTGCTTTCAGTTAGGACTGACTTGGGAGATTTCCAGAATTCTTTGGACCTCCTTGTCATACAGTATTGAAACCACTATAGTAAAAAAAAAAAAAAAAAAAAAAAAAGGCTGCTATTATACTTTCAACTGTGATATGATAAAATTCCATTAAAAGATGAAGGTATTTAGTTAGAGCTACAAGCTGCAGTATCTAGTGGTAGCCCAAAATCTGTAATGGCCATCAAGGATTCCTAGCCTCTTGTTATTGAGCAAATACTGGTACTACAGTGATGGATGTTTGTAAATGTAATGTCTTACTTGGGTGGACATTAAAATATAAATTTCCCAGGGTCACTGGATAGTCACAGTATTACAGTATTGTTTTTTGTTTGTTTTTAGAAGAAACATGTCTCTGGTCACCGAAAGGAGAAGTCAGTGGACTCAGTGTGTGAGATATTGAAGGTAATAGGAGGTTTCTTCATTAATGAGGTGGAGAGGTGCTCAATGGCACAGACCTAAGAAAGGCTTCTAGGAGATCCCTGGCATAGTCAGCTGGATGCTGGACACCCTTCACCTGCTGTTGCAAGGAAGGTTACAATGCAAGGGAGCTCAGGGATGGCCCTTTGTGGTTGAGTCTTCAGATGAGGATAAAATGTGACTAATATCCCAATTTCAGTGTTATAAGACACTGACTGAACAGAGGATCTAGATAAAAGGTATCATAAATGATGAGGTAATTGATTTATGCGTTGTCAAGGCACTAAATCCATAGCACTTTGTTATACAGAAATGGGAAGCTACAGTCCTCTTGTAAAGGGGATTTAACCAGGCTGTGCTCACATTCAGAAGCTCTGCTTAGGGGTGACTGTACAAATGGTTGACTTTTTCCTCGATCTACCAGTTTAGCAGAAAGAAAAGTCCATTCAAGATGAAATGGACTACAGGATTAAAAGAAACAAAACAAAAATAAGCAAACATAGTAAAACCAACTTGAGGCCCGTTAAATTCCACACAACTGTGTGGTCTCTGCATGAATTCATTTCTGACTAAATCCTTTGAGTAATGCAGCTCTTCCTTCTCCATCCCCCCACTAAAATCAGTACCCAGCTCAGGTGCTTGACTTTGGAAGACCCCAGAACATGGCATTGGATCTGAAAGGACTTTGGGGGGGGGGTTGAGACAGGGTTTCTCTGAAAGAGTCCTGTCCTGGAACTCGCTCTGTAGATCATGCTGACCTAGATCTCACAGAGATCAGCTTGCCTCTGCCTCCTGAGTGCTGGGATTAAAGGCGTGTGCTAGCACCCCACAGTGTTCGACTGCTTTTAAGAGGTTTTCATTAGATTGGGCATTTCAGAAATACTTTTTGTAATGGTTCTCCCCCTATAGAGTTTTCCCCAACAATTATGTTCACTCCATGACTTGCATTCCATAGTGGTCCCCCTTCCCACCATGACTGAGAACAGATTATATGTCAAGACCAACCTTCTCCCTCCTGTCTTGCCCTCACATACTGGGCAGCTGTTATAGGCAGACATGCATAGCTGCTAGCAGAGCAGCTAAGATTTCTTGCAAATGCAGTGGGCATTCCTAAAATATTATAGTGATCTGGGATTAGACCTAACACACAGAACAAGAACTCAATTCATGTACAACCAGGGTTCAGGAGAACATCAGATTGAAAAGAAATGTCACCATCAAGGGAAAGCATGCTGGCTTGCTGTAGAAAGTTCATAGATGGATGGAGCCTGTTTGTCTTCGAGTCCTTTCTAGCTAGAGATTCTTAGTTTCATAATAAAACTCTTAACAGCAGATACACGCCTCAGCCCCCTACACCTTTGCAGACAGCTCCTGGTTCCTGAGATCCTTCCCAATGGACTGAGCCCTTCTCACTGGTGAACCACTGGAGAAGCTTTCCCATGTGTTTCTTGTGTATCTCCCACTGAACAGAACGGCACAAGGAAAAAGCTTACCAGGGTAGCATTATAAGGGGGGAATATGTAAATAAAACCACGCTGCTGTTTCACAAGCTTCTGACATCCTAAGAGGAAGGTTTTTCCAGGCTCCTTCTTCTGGGTTATGTACCAAACGCCCAGCCCGGCACTGATTCACCAACTCAGCCTTCCTCTAACAAGAATGGATATATGAGCCCTCCCAGGCACCCACAGTGGGTTTGGGAAAGAAACCTCTGTGTTCTCACCAGACAGGCATGTGAGGGAGGAACTAAAAAGGTCTTCAGAGCCACTGGGCCTAGCAAAATTTCCAGGCAATCCATCACCTGCCTTCTCTGGAGAAGGGCTGCCAATCTGCCTACTGCTTGGGGGCAGGTGGAGGTGGAGAAAGGGTGTGAGACATTTAGTAGGAGTAAGAGCTGTGTGTGTTTGCGTGCGTATGGCGCAGTGAGTGCACGGAGCACGGGGACAAGCAGTAATAGAAGAGGAGGCAAAAGGGCGTGGGAGAGCAGGGACTTCTCTATAGAAGCTCCTTTGCCCTAAAGCAAGTCAAATCCCTGCTGCGGAGTTGCTTTCTCTTCCTCCCTTTTGAGTCTTCTGTGCTGAGGTGACCTCTCCCCCGTGGAGGTCAGTGCTCTGCTCACCCTGACACACTTGCCTTCTGGGGCTTGATCGCCTTAGAGCCCCAGGAAAAGAAGTCTCCAGCTAGTTTCTGAGAGAAAGGCTGTAGCAAATCTCCTGCAGAAGCCGGTTTGCTTTTTAAAGAATGAACACACACACACACACACACACACACACACACACACACACACACACACACACACACACACACGATGAAACGTCTTCTGGGAACTGCAGAAAGCAACAAACGCAAACTGCAAACTGCACATCATCATGGAAGACTCTCACAGCCTACTTCACCCTCTAATATAAATCAGGCTGGGTAATGAATGGGGTTTAAGAAATGTAACTGAACTTAAAATGCAAGGTCAGTATCTCATCCTAGGTAATCCTTTGCAGGATGAGAAAGTCTCCTGATTTTCCCACAGGGTTATTTCACATGCGCGTTCTGAGCCAAACTATTTTAAAAGCATTCATTCTTCCGTTGCTCTGCCAAATGTTAGCTTGAGATTCACATGTACTTTTAGAGAGTCTATTAATGATATTAATGATCGTGGATCAAAGGCAAACCCCAGAGGGTTATGTAGAAATTCCAGACAATTATTTAGGCACTTTGAAAACTTGTCTTCCGAATGAGGGTAGCAATATCTCAATGTGGGCAATGATGTTTTTGGATATGTAGGGTCTAACACAAAAGAATAGGGGAGCCTCAGAAGTAAAGGAAACACATCCCTTTGATTAAAATGCATAGCTACTAATTGACATCTCGTCCCTAAAGACTTCCTACTCACTTGTCGGAAAGTAGGTATACTTTGAATTTGAAGAAGGCCCTCTTAAAAGGAGTATTTGTTTGTTAACCCTGCTTTTCAGCATCCAGCATTTACGTACTCCGTATTGAAAAAGTAGTTCTTAACTATGGCATCACACGAGAATTATCGCTTGATGGTCTTTAAAAATACTAAAAGGCAGGGAGTTAGATTTAGCTGCAAGATACACAGGTGATTCCAACTAGTGTCCATTGTAGGGAAGCATTTCTGAACAGATGGAGAAATTCACATAGGGTGTGGTATGCTTAATTCAGTACTTAAAGGGTTGTGGGTTACCCTTAAAATACTAGACACTTTTGACAGATTAAGAAACTGAAGCCTGGAAGGCTAAGTGGCTTATATGAAAACATATATTAACCCTGTTAATGGCAGGGTAGCTCCTGAACCCAGGGTTTGCAGCTTGCAGTACCTTGCTGTTACATTGTTCCAGTTCTCCTGCCGGGTTCCAGGCCCAGAGCAGGGTTATCTTTTGTGTGGGTTTTGCCAGAGTACCAGGAAAACCAAAACACTAAGAAATGGGTTTGCTTTCATTACATTTCCAAACTGACACTGAGACTCTTTTGGAGGGACCTGTATAGGAACACCAGCGAAATCTACTTACAAGTGACCAGCCCAAGGAACTGGAATTCTACGGTGATAAGGGGAAAGAGGTGGCCTGAAATAAAGAAAGACCAGATGCTCATGCAACACGTAAATGAGTTCACATGGGGAATGTCAGGGTTCTCTGGGAAGGTTTCCAGATCATGCAAAGCCCTGTCTAAGAGGTCCGCTGAAGCTCAGTTGGGAGCACAGTGGGGACAGACTCTTACTGTTAAGACAGCACAGAACCTTAAGGGTCAATTTAATCATGTTTCTCACTAGGTTTTCTAAACCTAAATCTTTAGGAGTAGTGGTTCAAATAGTTCCTTTAACTTAGCAAGATTTCCAAAACCCAAGAAATGCCCCTGGGAGGAAAGAAATTCTTCCAAGCAGAACATAATTAAGAACAACATGTTCAGAAAGGGTGCTTTGGATATGCATTCTTTGAGCTTAATTCCCTTGTTTTTGAACAGCATCTCTCTCTGTCTCTGACACACACACACACACACCCTAGCAGAGGCAGAACCCAGACTTCTTTGAGGTCAGTGTGAGCTGTGTATCGAGTTTGAACTATGAGATATAGTGAGGACCCTACCCCACTCCTGCCAAGCAAGCAATTTGGATGACACAACACAAAACCCAAATATTTATGCATAAAACAAGAACATTCTCACTGCAGAAATGAGTCTATTGTATGGACATTCAGGCTGTTCAGGTCCTTAAGTGAGAGGACCAAGGTTCTCCTCGAGATTTGGCAGTGTTCAATTCCACCTGGAAACTCATTCTGAGAATGAGTCAAAATATCACCTATTAGCACTGATCAGATGCTCTGGAAAGCCAAATGCATGGTTTAACTGAGTTTTGCTTCAGTAAACTACAATTCCCAATCTTTGGTGATGGAAACTTTAATGCAGTATGGTGACACTCTTCTGTCGATGAAACTTACCTGGATAGATTTGAAGCCCAGTATGAATGGCTCCACATAATAAAGAAAATTTCATTTATCCAAGACCCCTCTGCTAGGCTACACACTGGCATACAGTTGCTCCCTGTCTTGTTAAATATATATAGAAACCAAATTAGAGGGAATTCGGCAGATTTCTGAGAATTTAATTATATCCTGGAACTGCATGACTGATGATATATATGGTTAGATTTCTGTACTGAGTGATTACTTGAGTTAACTTCATTTTACAATGCTTAATTTATTTTGTACTGTGGAAAGCTTCAAGCTATTTAAGAGAAACCAGTTTAATTTTGACTTTTTTTTTTTTAAAACTTGCTTCGACATGTTTCCGTTCATCCCTGTTTCAATACTGGGGAATGAACTCTCTTGTCTTGACAAACCAAATGTAGTGATTTCCTCATGAGAGAAAAGATGAAATTAAAACAATTTCCATATTCCAGTCCCAGCATGCTGCACAGCAAGTTTTTTGGCTCTTGAAAAGTTGTTTGTTATTCAGAGAGCCATTCACTACCGTTTTGTGGAAATATTACAGTAAGGTCTGCCAAGGAGTTTAAGGAAACACGAATGCCGCCACTGATCCTAGGCCATTCTCTTGGGCATAGATGTTTCCTGCCCTAGGTGTCTGCCCTAATCTGGGGCTCTTTCTGAAACCAAAGGCCACTGATAGGCACAATCTCTGCTGAAATCCAAATATGACATCAAACATAAAACAATTATACTAAGACCCCATCTTTGTCTCCAAGATGTACTTTGAGAAGGCTCATCCTGAGAGAAGCTACATTCTTCAAAAATCAAAACACAGATTTTTTTCTTTTGTGTGTCCTTTTCTTAGTGATCTTAGTGATCAAATCCAGAGTCCTACACATGCAAAGCACCCACTTCACCAACAGCCCATGAGTCTTGCTTTTTTGAAATAAGGGAACAAAACCATGTAGCTATTACCTTGTTCCCAGTGCCAAGTGACCCTGTACACTTAACGAATCATATGCATATCTGGTGAGTTAACCTCCAGTGGCAAACTAAAGCATTTGTGTATTTATTAAAATGTCATTTGAAAGTACATGGAGGTGGTTTAATATCCCAGATAGTGAACAAATTCTTCAATTACAATAATATCAATAGAATTGGATAGATATCTCCTAAAAATATCAGAATCACAGAGACCAGAATATAAATTTAATTTGGAGTATCAAAGGGTTGAAGAACTTGTTTTTGACTATCAACACTGATAGGGTCTCAGACTTTCAAATGCCAAGTTACGATAATTGTTAAGAATATAAAAACTCATACAATTCCCAATGGCAGAAAATATTTAATATCCCACCTGATACATAACAAAACACTTGGGATTAATTTTCCCCTTTGTCGGTATATTCAAAGAATTGTAAAACCATTCAAGAGATGCAGAGGTGTTTCAGATACACTGCAGGAAAATGCTTAAAGGCAAAATTCCTTAAATATATGCCACAGTGTGAGAGCCCAGAGCCATTCCCTGCTAATCCTGTTAAAATCCACTGTGCACGAAGGTTGTGAGAAAGAAAATCTACATACAGTCCAAACAACTATTGTTTTCCTCACTGGTCACAATCATCATTATCTCCTACAATAGAACAGATTTGAAAAGCAAAACGTTTCTTGAAAGCAAATGCTTCATTTAAGTACAATGAAATACTATGACCTAAACCATTAAACAATTAAAACCCTGTTCAGAGTATCTTAGTTCTGGAGTAGGAAAACAGTCATCATTCTGATAGGCCTGGTTTTGACTTTAGGATCTTTCGAGTGAGGTGTATAAGGGGGGCTGCTCATGCTTCCATTGAGAATTCAATGGCTTAGAACTGCCTAGATGGGAAAGGAAAGGAACACCAGCAATCAGAGTTTCTGGTCCTCTGAGGCTGGGATGGTCAGATAACACTTCCAGGTTGATAACTTAAGCTTCTTGTCTTTCTTGAGAGCAGGCTATACAACTAAAGAGAGTATTTAAATGCCCTGTGGATTTTTTCACATTGGGAACTGGAATGGTCACTGAGCTCCCTTTGGGTTCTGCTCTGTCCTAACTGTAACTGGAATATTAGAGGCATGAACAAGGACAGGGTCAGACCATGCTACACAGAGCACACCTCTTCTGTGGCTTCACCTAAGGCTGAGATGAATTACCTGTCCATCCCTGGCAACTACAGCTACAACAGCTCCCTAGGTGCTGCGTTCACCCTTTAGTGGAACCTGGGAACTAAGGGACTCACACCCTGAATCCAATCTAAATACTCTACAGGCCTGAGGGAGCACAGGGGGATACCTGTCCACATGTGGCTCCAGCTGATGGTGGCCAGGCTGGAGAAAATAACTGCTAGGGAATCTTCAAATTTAGTGTTATTTAAGAATCCTAGTTCCTCACAAACTCCAATGCCTGCATTTTGCACAGAACCACATGCGAAGAACCACTAACCTATTTTCATTGTCAGGCACTCAGTTCGAGGAACAAGAGGATTGTAGCGCTAGAACTGGCCTGCAGCACATGGCACTGTCTCTTTGTATCCCCTCAGGAGGTCTTCACAGTGATGGGGTGACAATGTCCAATATTATTGAGACACGGCTTACTCCTTGACAGGTGGAGGGCTCTTTGTCAATACAATATTTTCCAGGGACAGTTATAAACATGATGAGAAAGGAACAAGCCTATTAGAAAAACAGCCTCCAGGAGGTGATTGTGAAGGTTAATTCCAACACAAACAGTTTTGTTTTTAAAGATTTATTTCATGTGTATGTGTGTTTTGCCTCCTTGTACATACACATACCATGTGCATGCCTGGTGCCCATGGGGGCCAAAAGTGGATGTTTTGTCTTCTGCATCTGGAGTTCATGATGGTTGTGAGTCACCTTGTGGATGCCTGGAACTCAATCTTGGTCCTCTTCAAGAGCAGTAAGTGCTCTTAAAAGCTGAGACTTCTCCCAACCTCCAAATATTTGATTAAAGTAATTACCACATTCTTTTCAAACCAGAGGAACTATACACTCAAGTTTTTCTTGCCACTACATCCTCTGCTAGAACTTTGCAATTTCTTTCTTCTTTTGCTTAGGCCGCCCTGAATTGTAGCTAATCGTTCATCAATTGCAGCTGAGCTGGTGTGCTGCACCAGCCCTGGGTTATTTGTCATAAGGTGTCTGGAGGAGAGGCTTTCCGAAGCATGTAGCTCTTCTTTAGCTGTGGCTTTTGCCAAATCTTGACTCAAAAGCAACCCTGTATCTGACAATTCTAGCGCTGGCAAAACACTGACAGCTGTGCTCTTCTCCACCATCATGTCTCCTGGGACGAATCCATCATTTCCAAGAGAAACTCTCCTGCGGTGGTCAGAGTCTTCCGCAGAGCCACAGTTCCTGCGTTTCTGTTGTGTCTTGGCTGCTCGTGGACTTTGCTTTGGACCTGGTGATGCTGACTCATAGCTACACACAGGGCTCCTGCTTAGAAGTCCCGTCTTTAGCCACTCCCCGGGATGAGGCTGTTGCTGGCTGCTAGTGTCCTCTGGCTGAGTCTGAGAAACATTTTCCAGCTTTTGAACAGGAAGCCCCTGGTGGATCTTGGCTGCTTTTATGTCATCTTGTGCTTGACCCATAGTTTCTGACAGGAGACTGGCTGAGGCATCCCTCCTCCTTGGTACGGCAATGACTGAGTCACTAGGTCTTCCCACTGGGTCTGTGCTGGTCTGTGATTTGTTCTCAGCATTGCTTTTTGCTTTAGTTCTTCTCACACTAAAACACACAATAAAGATTGTACAGCATGTAAGGTCCACAATGGCATGGATTCCTCCAAACCCCCATTCCCTGGTTGTTACACCTGAGAACAAGGCGTGTGCCAGCTGGCTTCTCCTCAACACCCATCCCAGCATATCTAAAACATCCCCAAAGTGTTGTTTAACACAGACTGGATTAAGTAAAAACCTCCCCATTTTCCACTAGGATATGCTCTAAGTTCTCATTGCTGGTTCAGCAAAGGAAACATGGTGGAATGGTTTTAAAATTGAATCATTTTAACCAAAGCACACAAGTATGTATGTTTTAGATGTCAGAGGCAAATGCTCCCTGGGGCTGATATACTGACTTTTTATTAGGAGGGAATGCTTAGGTACATCCAAAGCACAGGATGTGTGCACACTCACACATATGCACAAATATGCACACATACGGTGTATATTTGTGAGTAAATCTGAAAATTGCTCATGACGTTTTAAGGTATTACTCAGCAGGTGCCAGGTTTATTCATCAACCCTATGGGAATAAGCCTCAGTTAATCAGACTTGGTCGGTTCTAGAAAACATTCAGACGACTAACATTAAATAAAGTACAATCATGATAAGCAGCATATTTACCCTATCTATCTATCTATCTATCTATCTATCTATCTATCTATCTATCTACCTATCTACCTGTCTATCCATCCATCATCTATTTATCTATCTCCCTTTTCTACAGGATACACAAGACAAGACAAATTTTAACTATAAAACAAACTTCCAGGGCAGGACGCAAACGTCATAGGGAATTTAAATCCTTTAGTTTTGGCAAGGAGTTGACAATAATACATTTACAAATAACAACCATCTTCTTCATTTACTAAAATCAAGCACTTTAGCTAGATTATTGACTTTCACTAAGCTTTGTGGAAAAAAACCATAAATGTGTTGCAGTAAGGGGCCCAAGGACTGCCATAATTACAATAAAGTCAGAGCAAACATCTCACAAAGAGAATGCAGTTTTTAGGTCTGTCTGCAGTTACCTCAAGAGCTGTGTGAAACACCACTAGCAGGTGCTTTTCATCTTCAAAGAGCTTGTAATTAATCACTCCTTGCAACACACACACACACCTGTGAAGCAAGGAGACTATTCCCACTGTCCAGAATACAAGAGCAACAGGAAGGTGGGAAGGGCATGTATTAATATATGGCTGTGGGCCAGTAGAAGCCCCAGTGGCAGAGGGGCTTCTGATTAGGTTCCATACACTCTCAATATGTCACAGACTTCTGGTGATACACTATCCACACAGGCAGTCAGAAAATGAGAAAAAGGAAACATGCTGGACCTACATTTCTTGTAGAGCATTTCTCTTGTGCTTTGTAGCAGGAGAAGGAGAATTCTCTGCACACTCAGCAAAATAGTCAGACACTCCATGGAGGATTCTTTTTGTCTAGTCCAAAAGATAAAGGTTCAAACAGGAGTCTATTAGCTGAACACCAGATAAAACAGTTACACCAGGAACGCTCAGGTGGACAGCTTTACTTCCATAAATACTAAATAAAACAGATTACTGTTTCAGGCTGTTACAACTGCTTTCAGTTGGGATTTTCTGGTGTCACAACTAGTTTTTTATTCTTGTCTACACAATTTATGTATTAGTATGTACCACAAACATACAAAATCATAATGTGAAACACATGGATCCCAAGCCATCTAGAACAATATCTGGTCTCTCTGTAACCCCAAAGGGCAGAATCCCTAAGCCAGCAGCTTGTGAGAAGACAGCAGCCAGTATCCTGACAATCCCGAGATTTCCTCCACACTTCCCTATTTATCAATACAGCCTTTCTTAGCCTTAAAACAGTATCAAGTTAAACTTTTTTTTTTTTCAAGACAGGGTTTCTCTATGGCTTTGGAGCCTATCCTAGCACTTGCTCTATAGACAGGCTGGCCATAAACTCACAGATTTCTGCCTGCCTCTGCCACCCCAGTGCTGGGATTAAAGGTGTGTGCCACCAATGCCCAGCTAAGTTAAACCTTTTAATATTGGCATTTTTAAAATGAAGTTTTTCAATCTGGTTAGTAAACAAACAAACAAACAAAAACCTGGGAGTCTGTGCTTTCTTACCGTAATCATTGCCATCATTTTATACAGATTATCCACCTTTAAAAACCACACTTTATAGAAGTCATTGCCATCATTTTCTATACAGATTATCTACCTTTAAAACCATACCCACAAAGCTTCATAAAGAGATAATTACAAAATTTAAAGTTCTGCCAACCTTTGCTAGAGCTGACCCATGTAATGTTTTTGGAATTTCTTACCTTAGGTTAGAAGCTGATAGCCCAGATAAGGTGTTATCTGCTCTTGTTTTATGGTATTATCAAGTATTCTTCCCCATCAAATTCATATAAAACGTTGTGACCATGAGGGTTAGTTGATACCTATCAGTTGATCTTTGTTTCACATGGGTTTCCATAGGAGTGATCAGTGATAGTCCCTGAGATTCTGAAGGATGGCAACCACTAGTATGTATTATTCCAGGGTATCTGTAAAGGCTTGTTTTAATCGGTGCTCACAACACTAAGTTAGGAGGGTCCTTGAGCTCTGGGCCATGCCCATGCTTCAGACCTGGGCCAGGATCTTTCAAAAACATGTCCACTTGTAACCTAAATTGGTTTTAATTGTCAGTCAACAGACTATAACTAGCTATACTGGATTATATTGCATTGCAATGTGTCATTCTTTTAGTTTGTTGTTTCCTAAAATTAATTTTTGGAAAAAGAATCCTTCAAGTTAAGTCAAAGGGGGAGACAAAAGAGAGGGAAGCTTGAAAGAGATTGAGAGTGATGGAGATTTATGTGTGAAACACTTCTAAACATGTCCTGCATGCCCTGTAAATACAGTTGATTTTCCCCTCACAGCCACACCCTGTAAATGCTGTATTTTCAGAGCTGAACAATTAACATAAGGAGCATGAGTCAGGCTTTGAACAACTCTGTGGGAACCAGAAAGCTTTTTGCTATTAGGAATGATGTAAATTCCCCAAGGCTGGAAGAAGTCCACAATGGAAGGCAGACAGGGTCATAAATAACAACAATGGGTTCTCCATCCACTGTATAAAGTATGATCCAGCCATAGTGACAGGCTCTTCAAATCTCAGTCTCAGCGTGGATTCAGCCACTCACTTAGTTATGTTTTAAAACCACATGTATTTCCTCTGGGAACTTCAGAAACGTTTTTAAGAAATACAGCAGTCTATTCTTGTCTTAAAGCCCTCTGACAAGGGGGTCAGCAATGTCTTTGGAAGAAAAGTGACAGGGAAAATGTTCAGTTCAAAAATTATAAAACCTGTGACTTCAAAAAAGAGAGGGGGAGAAAAAGAGAAGAGGGAGAGGGCAGAAGGGAGGTGAGACGGGGGGAGAAAATAGAGGGGAAGGCAGAGAGAAAGAGACAGAGACACAGAGAGAGACAGAGACAGAAAGAGAGAGTGCACAGACAGTCCTGAGTATACACTCATCAAGACTGGTCTCTAGCTTATAAATTAAAACCATATTCAGCAACTTGTTGAAAGAGATATATTTACATTTGTCTGAAGACAGGGTGGGCAGGGAGAAAAAAAGATTAGTCTCCTTTAGTCCTTGAACTGTCAGGAATCATTAGATGTCTCTTGTTTATACATTTCTAGGGTCAGTTCACATCGTTTTGTTACTAAATCAAAGCTCATGGTCCCTAGCGTTCCAGTCCTCACCTCAAAATGCTAAAGAAGCAGCTGTCACCTGGGAATAGGATTTCCCTGAGGGATTTTCTCCTGATTACCGATTTTTTTATCTGGCATAAAAATGAAACCTGACACTTATCCAGAGACAACTCAAAAATACAAATAAGCGGAGCACACAGTAGGGCTGCAGGGCCTCTGGGGCATACAGGGAAGATGCTAGTTTTTAGATTTCCTGTGAGCCATGAGCCGACCTTCTACAAGGAACACAAGCAAATCTACCATATTCAAAGAGGCTATTATTTAAAGCTTAAGTCCAGAGTAGCATGCTATGAAGGTCAGATACTCAGGAAGCAGACTAACCAGGAGGGGACTTACTCCTTACAACCTAGAAGCTTGCTGTCTGTCCAGGCCAAGGATAAAGCTCCGGGAGTATCATTTCTTGGTAAAATGTATTCCTAACCACTTGACCTGTCCCCACCACTTCACTTGTTGCAAGTTTTGGTAATACTTAAGGGCTCTGCTTTAAGCACTCTACCTGAGAAAGTACTAAAACAGGAGTGGGACACGGCTCCTAACCCCAGAAGTCTACCCTAAGGATAACCCTGCTTTCAGCAACCTGTACAGCCCAGATAGGCCCCAGGGCAAAGGGGGCAGGCATTTCACTATCTCTCTAGACACCAGGGAATACACTTTGAGCTTGAAGCCAGTGCAAGCATGTCCCCCTATACAGACCAAAGGGGAAGGTTGAGCTGGAGAAGAGTAAAAATATGATGAGGAAGGACAGTATGCCATGTTGGCTGCTCTGACCTGGGTCAGAAAGGATGACAGAGGGCATCCCCACCAAAACAAGACAGGCAGGTATGCCACACTTACTGCCTTCAATCAGAAAACCGACATGCTTGAGATGTCCATGTAACAACGGCCAATATTCAAGTTGCAAAGGTGCCTGGCAACTGTGATTACCTTCAGAGTTCATCCCACAGTGACTTGGCCAGCAGTTTCTACCATTGTGGGACAGATGAAGAAATGGGCGTAAATGACAAAGAAAACACTCACTTGCTCTTGAGTTTGGACCTCCTCAGAGAGTCTGTAGGGCCAGATAGGACTCTCAAAGGCTAGCAGAAGACTGGCTGCATCAGAGGCACCAAGGGAGGTCTTTTTTTTTTTTTTTTAAATAGATTCCTTGGACTCATCGTGGAAGTTCTGATTCACAAGCTCTGAGGTGGGGCTAGGAGGTCTATATTTAGGTTCCTAGGTGATTCACACTCTGCTGATATACATGAAACAACACTCAAGAAGAAAGGAATAGAGAAATTAACTTAACCTGGTACAATGAGACAGTGAGACAAACTTTGCAAAGTGTGCTTGCGTTATCCAGTAAAATCACCTTGGGAGCTTGTTAAGAAATGTTACAGATTCCACCCAGAATATACTGCATTTGTATCCCTAGGGGCTGGGGTCAGGGCAGTTATATTTTGGGCAAGCCCCCTAGTGATTCTTATACCCGGAAGAATTAGTGAACTGCTCTTAAGACACATGGAACTGGTATCAGCAGAAACTAGTGGAATGATCCAATCGGGTATCACTGAATTCTGGCAAGCAAAGCTTGGAGCACTTAGTGAAAAGATGTAGACCAACAGGAAAAGACCTTGTTCCATGGAGTTTCTGTCAACAGGCGAAACAAACAAACATATAACATGGTTTGTGTCCCGTCCCCCCCCCCAATTCAGCTGTTGCCAGTATTAAAGTATTAAGAGGCAGAGCTTTGAAGAGGTGATTAAGTCATGAGGGTTCAGTTTTCATGAATACCATGACATTCCCATACAGAGCTTGAGAGAGGAAGTTCTTGCTTCCCTTCTGTCTATCATCGCATGAAGACTTGTCCCCCTTCCTCTTGTGATGATGTAGCAGTACCAACTTGAAAGTAGGGATCAGACCCTCCCCAGACAGCTTCCAATATACTGAAATACATTTCTGTTCTTTAGCTATTAATGCAAAACTGGGCAAGTCTTTGCATATGGTGTCCAAATCCACTCAGATAAGAGCTACAGAGGAACAAGTCTGGATAGAAAAAGCAGATGAAAAGATATTAAAGATGCAGAAAAGGAGACAAAGGAACTGTTGGTAAGGAAAGAGAACGAGTGTCCCCAGAGGCAAAAAGAGAAACGAAACATCAACTAAGTGCTAAGAGTGGAATGCTGCTCTTAGAATCGAAACAAAACCCAAAGCATCCCTAGGCGGTAAGTAGACATTTTGGGTAAAGTGCTGAGACTTAAACACCCATCATAGGTGGAGGGACATTAAGACAGTAATAGACACCAGAACTCTCCAGTATAAATACAATGTAAACTGTACAAGTAGCTTGAAATTTCCTATAGTCCATTAAAGAAGAAAAAGGAAATTGGTGAAATTAAATTGCAATATGTTCTATTTAACAATACCTCTAAAATATTATAACATGTAGTCAATATAAAATATTGAGCCATTTAATGTACTGAGTCTATGGGAGCCAGTATGTACTTTCTACAGAGTGTATAATTTCTGACTTACCATTCAAATGCTTACAGGCAGAATGGAAACCACACTGGCCAGTATAGGCCTAAGCAATACTTTGGGAGAAGTTTTCATTAAGGGAAAGCAGAGAAATAGAGGCACACTTCAATGTTACTCCAGATGCAGCTTGGTGAGGCAGGTTTATTACTGTTACCACAGCCCAGGGCTAGATGCAGCTGGTCAGGGACTAACTCAACATGAATGAGGTGGCAGTGCAGACGACTACATGACAAATGTAGTTTCTTCTGGGAAAGTCCTGTAGCCTGTTCTCTAGCGTTTACCTAGAGATACTGGGACTTTATTAGTTGAGGTTGGAATGGGGGGGGGGAGATTTGGGAGGCCAGGTCAGGCCATTGATCACTCCTGTTCATGATGGACACACACAGCTTACTTCCTGAATTGTACTCTTGGTATATCTCACTGCCATGACTGAACACCTGTACAAGGGCTTGGTCACCAAACTTCTGTTCACAAGATTGTAAACTAGGTCACATGAGGACAGTATGATGTTCCCCCCAAGGGAGTAATTAATGTAGTAATATATAATATATTTTTGTCACCACTACCATCATCATCTATTGAGAGTTGAATCCAGTTTCTCATTATACTGCAGAGGGGTATCTTCTGGTTCTGTTTTGTGCACCCCAAGTTAAAAAAATGATGGTCCAACTATATTTTTAAAGACAATCTGTCAAGTATTATACTATGTGTATACATCTGAGGCACACTCAAAAAGTCACTACATCTCGTTTCTCATGACCACAGTTGCTGAGATGATCTTTCAGGGCTTATCAGCAAATCACAAGGCAGAGAGCACAGCTGAAGGACAGTGTAGCACAAGGTCCCACACTCTGTGTTGGCTTGTCCCAGGGCCAGTTTTACAACCTCCCAATGGCCCACTTTCACTTTTGCTTGTGAGTAAGGAGAGGTGTATGAATCACACTTTGGAACCTGAAAAGTGTTAACACTATTTTTCTTGACATTATTAGTTAAAACAAACAAAAAAGTAAAGAGATCCTGATGCATGCACAAATCATATAGTTTATAAGGAGGAAAAGATGCTTTCTATCCCTAAAGAAAGTCACAGCTCCAAAAGCCCTTTCCAAACATCTCCTCTGTAGGGCTGCCCTAGGCAGTGCTCTCTTTTTTACAGGGTGGTGACCTATCACCAGCTGTCATGGTGGGATGGAGGTGTAGCAAGATGACTCTGAATCACAAGTCCTTGGCTAAAGTTCCTTCTAGTCATTATCTGGCTGAAAGATTTGGAAAAATGACTCATCTTTGTTGAGCATCAATTTCTTAATTTCTCTCTCTCTCTCTCTCTCTCTCTCTCTCTCTCTCTCTCTCTCTCTCTCTCTCACACACACACACACATACACACACACACACACCAACATGACTGTTGTCTCAGTTATGGTTAATGTTGCGGCATAAAACATCACAGCCAAAGCAACTTGGGGAGGAAAGGGTCTAGTGCATCTTACACTTCTGTATCACAGTCCATCAGGAAGTCAGGGCAGGAGCTGAAGGAGCCGTGGAGGAATGCTGCTTACTGGCTTGCTCCTCATGGCTTCCTTAGCCATTTTTCTTATAGTACTCAGAACCACCAGCTGAGGGGTGGCACTGTCCACAATAAGGTGGGCTGTCCCATATCAATCATCAATAAGAGACTGCACCACAGGCTTTCCCACAGGCCAGTCTGGTGGCAGCATTTTGTCATTGAGGTTTCGTCTTCCAAAATGAATCTAGCTTGTATCAAGTTGATATACAACTAGCTGGCACAGCTGTCTTAGATGGAGGTCTGTTCTCTTTCCTCTGGGAAGACCTTGAGATGCCAGGATCAACCACCATATACAGGCAGAGAACAGAGTCAGCACAGAGGCTGGCAGAGCTAACAGTGGTGAGAACTGAGTTTTCAGAATAGAGTATCTCTGACCAATCTTAAAGTCTGGAGCTGTCAGGGATATCAGTAAAAACTTCATTTTCCCCCTATGCCTATGCTATCTGGAGTTGTCTTGCCTGTCTGTTAAAAATGAAAAGGTTCAAGACTCACTCAATCTCTTCTCAAGTTTGCTGTACTGAATAAGTTATTGTAGATGCCAGGTCCCTGCACTCTGCCAACAACACATTCTATAAACAATAAGAGCAGAGTAAAAGTGTAATATATCATATCCATTTATTTAGGGAACATGGAACAGTGTTAAAGTATAAAGCTGAAAGCATTAAAGTGTGTAGCGTTACTTTAGTGTGGTGTCTACTGGTTTTTAGGCACATCTGGATTCTGAAGGGTATGGAAGCTGAGACAGTTAGAGAGGCAGCTGAAATGAAGTTTGAATATGGAAAGACATCATCTCAGACCACAATGTGACATGGCCACCCCAAGCATGAGTCTTAACATTGTCCAAAGTCCATTTCTAATATTTTCTTAAGTTATTCAGTAATAAGTTAAATCAATAAAAGGGGGACAGATGGAGAATATGATCATAGCAAAGGACGGACATATTCAGGTTCATCATGCATCAACTCAAAGGCACAGAATCAAAATGGAATACAATAAAATGGGAGGTGGCATCTGATGAATGCCACAGGCCTGAAGTCATGTTTTCTAAGGACAAAGGACATAGACGTGTGTTATGTTACTTTAGGCAAAGCAGGTGGGACAGGGATGAGCAGCTGTTAAACGGAGCTGTGTAAAGAAGCATGTCCTTCTCCATTTCAAAGACTCTATGATGCCAAGTCTCTGCCCATTTCCCACAGTGAGGGTAGAGGCCTTTTCTCCCCTGAACCTTTCACTCTTCTGCTTCCATAAAAGGCTGGGTTTCTACGGGAGAGAGAACAAGGCTTGTGAACTGTGAGGCCACCCAGGTTAGTCACAAATACTATTGATTCTTCCTTTAAAATAATTGAACAGTTTTCTTTGCATAGGGCTGAGGATGTAGCTCATTATAGATAAGGTACTTGTCAAGTTTTCCTGAATCCTAGGTGTGAGTCTGAGAACCACATAGTCTGGGCATGGTAGTCCATGCTGGTACCCTAGCGTCGAGTAGACAGAGGCAACAGAGTCAGAGATCAGCGTTAGCCTAGAACACAGTGAGTTTGAGGCCAGCCTGGGATACATGAAATTCTGTCTTGAGAAAGAAAAAAATAATTCTTCTCTTTTGAAGTTGTGACCAGGAAGCTGTTATATATAAATCTAGGGAAATACCTGTAAGTATGTGCAAAGAATACAGCCCTAAAAATGACATCTGTGAAAAATCAAGGAAGTTGTCTTGTAGGAAGTGTACACTTCACAGGGATTTTCCAGTTTACATTCACCTGCCCTTGAGAACCTAAAAATAAATCCTGACTGACCTTAGCTACTATTGAGTCTTGGGTGCAGACAAGTATGACAAAACATGATATCTTAAAGAACACATAGGTTTGGGTCTTGGCTGACATGGGGAGCTACTGACCACTGTTGGAGTTATATAAAATTTATTTAACTTTGATAAGATGAATATTCAAATACACCATGAATTACCTTAGAGAAACTTGGACTATTTCCAGAGTCTCCTTAAAAAGTATCTCCTCTACCATATCTATGACTGCAAGTTTGTCAGCAACTGTAGCAAGTAGCTGGCCTTTCATTCAGGGTTCAGACTGCCATGACTTCTCAAATGGCCAAGTTCAAGGTCTTGGACCTAAAGGGAGAAGAAAGTGGTAGGTATGGATACACTACCCAGGCAGGACAGCTGACCAAATGATGGACAAAAGGAGCCAGGATACTAGTGGGAAAGAGGCAAAAGGCCAGAGGAGACATCACAGATGGCTGCCTCATTTCAAATTTCTTTTTAGAGCTGGCCCTCCGCCTGGGGATATGGAAGAAATAGTTCTTGCAATTTTCCTTGAGCACAGACAGCCAGGCCCCCTCTTTCCAAGACTCATATCTCCTGATAGGAACAGCTTTTGTGGACTTGTCTGGGAACCTCATCTCTATCATGACATCGTTTCCTTGGGAAAATGAGTGGTGCATTCTAAATCATTGGCCTATTAATGAATTTTCCAAACATAACCCATTCACACATTGAACTCTATTTGTGCTGTCCCTGTGGCTTTTCTGTGGAGCATGGGCTCCTTGAAACTCAGGCCTGAGAAGTCTGCTATGTCCCAACCCCTAATTCCTTAGAGAAATGACTGGGTGCCTCCTCCCAGCTTCATCTCAACAGGAGTCTGCTGACAGCTGCTGCAAATTCAAGGTGCTTAGAGGGGAGGCTCTGTACTTCTTCCTCCTCTGCAACTGGTCAATAGAGCTTAGACAGGGAGTCTCTGGACTTCCTCCTCCGCAATTGGTCAATAGAGCTCCACATGACCAGTTGACTACTTGGCTTATCACTTAGCCTTTTGCATTTTCAGTCTTTGTAGTTGCAAAATGCAGCTGAGATGAAAAGTAGAGACGCACAAAAACAAGGGCCTACCCTTCTTGGGAGAATACTATGTGCAGAGGGCATTACCAAGTGTCACTCTCATTTCAAGACCATGAAGAAGACATATAATCATTTACTAATCTAGCAGTATGGCATTTGTATGAACTCTTCTTTGGAGTAGAAGGAAATAATGGTGACAACAATTAGTATTCACAAGTGTGCCAGAGTTTATAAGCCATTTGAATATTTATTATTTCACATGACTATTAGGAAAACTTAGCAAGGCTTGTCTAGCATATATCACATTTACCTCTGTGTACCAAGTCAGGGGCTGATTTCCTAATGCCAAATGCTGTCTGTGTCTGAGGTCTTCCAGCAAAGATGGCAGATGCAGTGTTCAAGGCCAGGTCTTTATATTTTAACTTCAATACCTTCACTCTGTTCTATTCCATATTATGTGTTTCCTAACTAACCTGCAATACAACTGGTCACTGAGGAGAGATTGCATGTCTCTGAATATAGAAGGGACACCATGCAAAAACAAGCACAGAGGATTAGCGGGCTAGATATGTCATTTTCTATTACTCTAGCTAATTATGTCTTAGAGTCTAATTCAATGGTGGGCAGGAACTGCTGGTGATGAAATACAACATGTGTCATTTGCAATACTACTGGTTAAATATTTGGGAGGGTTTTATTATTAGAAAAGGGGAATAAGACCTCAGATTACTGTAACAAGTATGCAATATTTAATCTTTAAAATATTACCTGAAAAATAATTTTTCTAATTTTTTATGTCATAGTACAGAGAAATAAAGTAACTAAGAACATCTTCATTGCTACCACTAGTATCATTACAATCAGCTGCCTGCCAGTCCTTTTAAGGGCTGTAGGCAAGGTGCTGCTAAGGCAAACTGTTCCACAGATGGCACTGCCCCAATCTGTCCGTTGCCTATCTGTAGATGGCACTGCCCCAATCTGTCCGTTGCCTATCTGTTGAGCATGCTCTGATCCTGAGCCATGACCCTAGCTACCTGGAGAAGGAACTGGCAGTCAGTCTCTGCAGGGAGTAAGCACTGTGGGGATTCTTTAGTACTAAACAATAGTCTGACTTAAGAGATACACTCAACTCAGTGCTTACCTCTTGTCTATTCTCGGGATGTTTGAACATTCATTCTACCAAGACAATGCTCCAGTGTAAACCTATTCTGTGCAGCTGACAGCTATTTTCATAGGAGAATACCAAAGTCTTAGTGACATCAGTGAATAGTTCAGAGGGCAATAGGGAAACCTAGACCCTAGAAGTGACTGTCATGAGACCTGGATGGTGAAGCCCATCAATGGAAGCAAGAGAACGTTGTCCCTAAAAACCTACATACCATGATTAGCATGAAGTTGGTCAACATACAGATAAAAAGGACTCCACATCCCAAACAAATAAATTATAGTAAAACACTTAGAGAAAAATACAATATCAAGACTTTCCATGGTAGAAATCATTACAGAGAAGACACAGATTCCTCCTGCCATACATCAATGACATATAATTGAAAGACAATGATAAGCTCACTTAAAATTACTCCCCTTACTCAATAAGGATATTTTACATAGTAAGTAGAAATACATCATCAATAGAACACCAATAGAAAAGTAGAAATGAACTAACTTATAAATGAATAGGGTCCTAGCTAAAATGAACATGCACTGACCATAGTTAGTAAGCCTGAAGAAGTAAAGGTCAGGTTGGTAAAAGAGGTTCTTGGGCTGGGAGTCAGAGATAGTTTTCACTTTCCTTGAGCATATCTGTACCTAGTCTTTTGGTGCAATGAATATATAGGATTTTGGTGACCACTTGCTACAGAAGAGTCAAATTTGGAATATTTGAAAATGAGAACTAGTAAGTAACCTTTCCTCCAAACTTAAGGGCCTTTCACAGGTGTTGTAGGAACAACCTGACAACTCTATGTAATTCACCACGAATCAGAAGTGGAACTGGGGACATGAATGGCTTTTTAAAGTCTATGATACTTCATCCAAAACTTGGAAAAGTCATGGACTGCTTATCCTCTCATCAGAGCATAGAAGTTAGTACACTCAAATTTTTAAGTAGTACATTTCTTTGGTTCCTTTTAAAAACATTGTATTTCTTTTGTTTTAAAAACATAAGGCCAAGCTGGATGGTAGTGGCACATGCCATTAATACCAGCACTTGGGAGGCAGAGGCAGGTGGATCTATGTGCGTTTGAGGCCAGCCTGGTCTTCAGGGTGAGTTCCAGGGCAGGCCCCAAAGCTATAGAGAAACCCTGTCTCGAGCTCCCTTCTGCCACCCCCCCCCTACTTCCTCCCCCCAAAAGTCAAAACCCAAAACATAAGGCTTAAATTTTTTCTTATAACTTCTTTCCTAAAATAAAACATGACTCAATTCTGTAAGATTATTGTTGCATTAAAAAAAGTATCTTGTGTGAAAATCATATCAAAATTCTGATTTAGTGCATTTTCATCTTCTTTTTTCCCTGACAGAAATTCCATCTGAGAAATTATTTTGGGATAATGTGACACTGTCTATTTCATATGGAGGAGGACTTGGCCAGCAGAGGTTTGACTGTGCACAGCTGAGGACTATAAGACTCATGCTAAATATAACTCAGTCTTTAGTAGTTTATTGCTTGAGACTAATTTTTACTTCAGTTTTGTATTTATAAATGAAAAGTACTTTTTTTTTCTTTTTTACAGTAGCCTGGCTTAAGAGCGATATTCAACTTAGTGTTTAACTACTGTTGACTATCAGAACCTCTTAGTAATCTTTCTATACAGTCCACACTACAGAGAGGACCCTGCCCTGATTACTGGGGTGTGTGTGTAAACTAGATTGCTATTTTCATAGGTAAGCCACAACTCAGATGAAGGATAAGATGGAAAACCCCCAAAACTTAACGCACAGATCTGCTTTTGGGCAGCATTAACACTGTGTGTCACTTTCTAATTTCTGAAAGGATCTCAGATTTAAAAGAAAGAATGGAGATCTAACATTCTGGGCTTTCTTTAGGAATGGTAGAAAGGGTATGACTGATTTTAGGTGACCAGGACACTCAGCAGTAGTGTCAATCTCCCAGACTATAAGCCATTAGAAGGCAACGACATTTTCTTATTTTTGTGTCACTGAAGCCCAGTAGAGACCCTGGTATAGAGCCAGCACCCAGAACATCCTGTTCCATGTAATGGTCAGTGCAGATGGGAACCATGGTCTCCAGAGACTAGGAGTGGCTTGTAACTAACACACAATCAAACAGTAGCTTTGCAATGACCCTGAAATGTCCCAGATATATACAAAGGTCCATGGCTATTTACATAACTTCAATAAAGAAATCACAGGAACTAGCAAGTAACTTCAGATTTCACCAAACCTCCAGGGCTTTACATCTGAAAAAGAAAAGTCTCTACACAGGATACGTAAGTTTGGGACAGAGGGGAAGAAAGAAAAATAAAAAAGGAGGAAGTTAATATTGTGGAATAGAACCAAGCACAGTAAAATCTGACTTGATGTTCTTTATTGCTAAGGAAAGAGTGCACAGAAGAGGCAAAGGTAAAAACTGTCTGAAAGACTCTGGCTTCGCATCCAGCAGTAGGTCAAATCTGAGGCTACAAGAGTTTTGAGATTTCTTATGAGAAACTCTAGTAAGAAAAATACAGTGACTCATTTCATAATAATGCCCTTGCTTCCCAAAGTACACAGCTCAGTTCCCACATCCCAAACATATGAACACTGTGTAGGGCTATTGCAACATGGAGGACCTTCCTCTACTGCTTGCCTCTTTTGAGTTGCCTGATCTGGGACATGTTCTTTGGTGCAGCTATCTTGAAGAATTGGCATGGTAAATACTGCTGGCTTCCTAGTCTGAAGGCTGAAAGACTACCTAGGCAAAGTAGTTTTCAGTAGATGCTCCCAGATTTCCTAGCCTATTCTCACTTAAGACAGAGCATAGGAAACTAAAGGAAAACTCCCTAAGAACTATAGCCCCAGTGAGAGGTTGAGGCTGCTATCAGGAACAAGACTACTCCCCATCAATCCTGTGGATGTAAAACAGCAAGCTATAAACAATTACAAGAAAATAACTGTAGTTTATTGGCTACATAGGGAGCCAAGTTCCCAGGCCTTGCCTAATCAGAAGTTCCTTGAGAAGGACTACCAGGATGGAATGAGATGGATCCTGCCCTTTTGTGAATATCAGTATAAAACAAAAAGAAATTCAAATTCTTGGGTGGGGGGGTGGGGGCTGACATCACTAGATTTGGGTGTTTGGAGTTTCTTCTCTCTCTCTCTCTCTCTCTCTCTCTCTCTCTCTCTCTCTCTCTCTCTCTCTCTCTCTCTCTCTCTCTCTCTGGCAGGCGGCATCAGGGAGGGAAGGGTTGTTTATTGATCCCTAAATAGCTGAGACAGGTAGACTCTCAAGAGGTCAGGTATCAATGGAAGGAAGACAATACAACTGACTTATGAGGGATTTGTAGGAGGGCCTGGATATGTCACAGCTTCTACTGACAACATACCTGAGAACGTGGCAGGTTGAAAGTCTTGAGGAGGGGAGGTGTTCAGCTGAGATTGGAATATGTGTGACAATGGAGCCATTTGGTAGTCCCAACTGTTTCACTGACTCTTGTCTGTGTTGCTGGGAAAGTGTGTATGTGAGAGAAATAACACGTAACTAACAAGAGCCACCAAAAGTAACTAAAGAACTGTGTGACATAGATGACTTTTTGCTTATGAGCTAACATGGTCAATTTTGGTAGTATACTCACTAAAGATCCGAACACGTTAAAGATGAGGCAACTGAACTCCCCACGTAAACTGCTCAGATTGGTTCATGAAACAAAAGACTGGTTCACAATGAAAGTTTTCAGTAATCAAGAAACTCTCCAGATTGCAGGATTTATGTAACAGCAGCTACAGAAAACTTACATCTGTATAAATACTAGAGTCCCCAAGGGGATTATGTTTCATTTGTATTCTGATGCTTTAATTCCTCCTTAACAATTTAAGATATTAAGTATTAACATTACACATCAGATATAAGATCTGATTTCTCCTGTATTCCATCTGCAAGCAATAACATTATGGTAGAGCTAATAGTTGTTTTGTTTTTTTTTAAGTCATAGATCAATTCTTTCTTACTTGGTAAAATCAGTTAAGCAATATTTATTAGAATATAGGCCAACAGAATTACTTTAGCATTTATTAATTTACTGAGATAATGCAATGTCCTGGAAATATTTCAAAAAATAAACTTTTAAGGCTTTTGGCCAAATTTGCTTCACTGATCTTATTTTATGTATATATGTAGAGTGTTTTTCATGGAGGAAGAGGAAATAAAAGGGTCACCCTGGCCTTTTTGAAAGGATCCTTTGCTCAAAACAAAGGAACCAAAGACAAGTACCAGTTCCCAGCTCTTTGCTGCTCCTGAGTCTCTATTGTCTCACAGAGCCTATGAAACACTTGTGTATTTACTTAATGTGAGATAAGAAGCTGCTTTCATACCATGTGGGCCAAATTTCAAATTTCATGTGAGTTAAAAAATAATAAACAACAGGGATAATCTAATATCCCCATAAATTATTTTAGAAGCACAATAATCATGTCATACTTTAAGGATGGGTTAAAGTCTTCTCTATTTATTTTCCTGTTCATGGAAGGTTCAAGCCATAGACCTGAAAGTTTTTTTATTTTTTAAGGACAATTTAAATAGACCGATCTATGACTGCAGCAAGATACATATACACAAAAGATTACTGTCAAGAGCACACGTTGAGCTTAAAAGACACAGCTGTAAGCTATGGCATTTTGAGTATGTTTTCTACATTTGTCTGAGTAGAGAACTCCAGTGAAACAGAACAAGGCCCTGACAGAACAAAGTTTAGCATGAGAAAAGAGAGCAAGAGAAATGAACTCTATTAGCTATGAAATAATACACTAGGGAGTAACACTAGTTCTCATGAAAAACGTCAGTGATTCACCATGGAATACAATTCAGTGACCCCAGTGGAAACTTCTAGTGGAAGCCTAGATTTTCACTGCTTTTCATTTACATACCATCACAGACACCATTAAGGTTTTCCTGATGTGCTGATGCCACCTTCAAAGTTGAAAGTGTTAAGATATTGCTTATATCAAACTAAATTTTCATTGTATTAGAGAGGAGAAAAATAAAAACTGAAAACATTAATTAATCAGCTCTTTAGTTTCTCAGTGTTACCATGCTAAACAGGAAGTAAGGCATCTCTAACCCCTTAAAACACATAGAAGAGCTGATAACAGAAGGCACCTCCCCACACCACCACACACATTACCACCACCACCACACACACTATCACCATACACACATTACCATCACTGCCACACACACACCACCACTACACATATTACTATCACCCCCACACATATTAACACACACACACACACAGAGTCACCATACACACATTATCACCACTGTCACACACACCACCATCACATATATTACCACCAACACACACATTATGACTGCCACCACACAACACCAACAACATATACACCACCACCGCTGCCATCACAAACACTCAGTACTAAGAAGAACCTATCAGAGAATTTTTTTCATACATACCGACTTTTCATTCTGGCTTGCCCAAGTATCAGGACCAAATGCAAGCTGACTAACACAGACCACAAATCTGTCAGGAAATATACGAAGTTCTGCATAAAGCAAAGAAGACCAAGTTAATAAATTTATGAATATCATGCAAATAGAAATTCTTGTTCCCAGGTTCTTTGGGAATGTTTTGTTATGGCAATATACACATATATGTGGTTGAGGTCTCTTCTCCATTCTTCTCTCTACAGGTTTTCTACCACTTGGGCAGAGTGAGTTAGAGCAACTGGCCTATGTCAGCCACTGAACTACTGGAGCAGATGGACCCTCCAGGCAGGCCATTATAGCTGCTCTCTTAGTATGTTGAACTCTCACTTGGGAAGAAGTAGCAAACGGTTTCTAATCGGCACACAGACTTAAAGAGAAAGAGGAAGAGTGTGAGACACAAGTCTTTCGTGTTTTTCCGAGGTAGTTTCTTTGTAGTTTCCCGTCAGTTGCTCTTTAAGAGAACTAGAGGGCTAATTCTATACTAGACAGCAAGCTTCTAAGCTGAATATGAAAACAACCATTGTTCTTAGGAATGTATGCCTAGTCTGTTAAGGGAATGGTCAAGTATGCAACACCAGAGGTGGCTTTAGGCCTCAGTAACAGCAATCCACCTCTATAGAGTCTGATGGCCAAGTAACTTACTTCCAAATGGAAAAGGTTAAATGGACCACCGAACAGGACCCCTTTGGTCAGTGACTGGAGCCCAGCATTGGCAATGCCATCTGCATCATCTCTTCTCTCACCTGACTTATCTAGCCATCTCTACACCCACCAAATGCCATCCAGCTGTGGGACCATGTCTGCGATGATGTGTAACAGAGACGAACAGTACCTGTCTAGACTGAATGGGTAGCAGTCTTCATTCTTGGTACTTGCTGCATTGCCCAAATCTTTTTTTTGTAACATGTACTTAGACTAATAGCTACAAAACAGTCATTTCTCTAAAATGAAATGATTCCTTCTCAGACATGACCATGTTTTTTTTTTTACACTGACTTCTGAAACAAAAACAAACCAAGTGTTTTGAGTGAGAGTCAAATGAGCAAATATGAACTCAGTGACATTTCCATTTATTGATCTTATTAAATATGGAATACCTGACCTCATACCATATCATCAGTATAAACTTTCTACCTGTAGTGCCATCTGTTTTAAGGCAAAGAAGGAAATATTGGCCGCAGACATGATCATGTTTTTAAGACAGTGTTATGAACTGTCTTAAGTAATGAATCAGGTAAGTAAACACTTTTGATACTCTGCACATGAGGCACTGAATGAGATAGTAATACACTTCCATTTGAATTGCTAACCACAAAGGTGTTAATTATGTAAACAGATAATATGAAATAACACCTTATACCACTTGGCTAGGTTAGAGACTACCAAAACAACTAAAGAGTTGATGCTCCTGGAGTGGTTCCCCCCACCCCAGCCCCTGGGCCACTGCTGTTTCTTTGGTCACTACTGTTCTAAAGCATGCACCTCATCACAACAGGTCAGATGTTCTAAGCAAAAGCTCCATCTGTCCTGGCTCACTTGGCTCCTGTTACCTAACAAGGATGTGCCAAGCATAAGACCTTGCTTGACTTCAGGCCAACCTGCTGTTCTGGTTGCAGTTAACCAGGCCTCCAACAGGAAGGCTTTGCTATAGGTGGGTTCAGAGATATGCCTAAATTTCAACCACACACAGAAGTTATATCCGAATGGGGACCACAGCTGGTTTTTAGAAAGCTCTCAGAACAAAATTATAGAAACAGTTAATATTTATATATTAATTCTTGAAATAAATTATTGGGATTAAGTGGTAAGTAGCCTCTGTCCCACTTTATAGAGGGAAAACAAGCCATAAAATTCATTATTTCTCCTTTCCCTTACAAATCAGAAAATTAAAGTATAATATGCTATTTAGGAGATGAGAATTAAAATTCAAACTATCACTCCATCTATTTTATATTTCTATTTGTCATCTCAAAAATAAGAGTGATAGATATGACTACTTCTGAATATGATATGAATAGATTATGATAGTCAAATCAATTCAAAAGTTTCTTTTGCATCACTTTACTTGATTACGCAACAATTGATTTGTGTTACTTTAAGTATTTAAACAGCAGTCACTACCACAATGAATAGCTAGATTGCATTATAAGACATGAAAGGTTAACTTTTTGAGTAAGGTAAACAAAGCAACTCCATTAAGAGGCTAGTATAGGGGCTGGAGAGATGACTCTGTGGTTAAAAGCACTAGATGCTCTTCCAGAGGACCTGGGTTTGAGTCTTATCACCCATCATGGTGGCTCACAACCATCTCTAACTCCAATTCCAGGGGATCTAACATTCACTTCTAACATCCAAGGATACCTAGCACACACATGGGACACACACACACATGCAGGCAGACCTCATACACAGAAAATAAAAATAATAATTTTTTTTAAAAATGTCATATATTTGAGCAGCATTTAAGAGTCAAAAAAGTACAATCATGAATATTCTATGAACAAACCTCTATGAAGGCAATTCCTAAGCCCCTGTTTCATATCTTATATTCATAAGGACATTGTTCAAAATAGTTAAGCTAAACTTTCTAATGTTAAGATCTACACAGAGTGCATGGACAATATCTCTTAACTTTGTGGTTGATTGGACATGATATAATTTATTGTATCATGACTTGCAGAAGTGAGGGTTGTGAGCCAACCTCATCAAATACTTAAAGAAGGTTTGCTGGCTCTGGGTTGGGAAAGTGCTTTCTTGATATTCATTTGCCCCTTCCCAAGGGCCATGGGTGCACTTAACCGGACAGAATTATCCAATGTTCACATATTCATTGAGTCACCTTTGAAACCCAATGAAAATGCTGCAACGAAGTAGGAAAGTAAAGTGCACCATGGCCCGCTCTGTTCTCATGGGCAGTAAGCACTATGAGTGGAATATGAGGGGTTATATATGCCTTGAAATACTAAATGATATAGCTACAGCAGCAAACAGTAATGTTTATTTTCTAACTTTCAATCCTCTTTTGAACAAACTGATTGTGTAAATGCTTGATCCAAGATACCAGACTCTTACCAGTATTCTGTGAGCTCTGAATACAGCGAAGGTGTATCCCTCTCTTGATGAAATAGGCTGTGATGTGAAAGCCATAACCTGCAATACAACAGGGACATCATTAGATTATAAACCTGTCTAAATTCCAGAGACCCTGACCAATGCCTGTCATACAATATGCACTCAATAATTAACAAATAAAAGAATAAAAGAAGTAATAGAGGCTTCACATGAGTGGACAGAGCAATATCATCATACTGACTCTTTTAAGAGGCCAGGTCCAAACACCTGGCATGATCCTAAATTTCTGAAGTGGCTCAGTCACTTCATCTATAAAATTGAACAAATGAGGAGGTCTAATATATCTAAAAATTATTGGTTTCAGATGAATGACAGATTAAGTCTAAACTGATGCAAAGGTCTTGGCCATCTTCTAATATCCACTACTTACCATGCATTAAAAAAATTGTTGTATACTTTGTAAATAAGTTACTCCTTAGTTCAAGTGCAGTCACATCTTAGTGAAGGATGAGATGTAAGTAATACTGTCTGAGTTGAAAACAAAACAAAACAACAACATCCATCCCCCTGAACTCCCAACTCACCGGAACAGATAGAAAAAAGGACTGCAAATATGTGGGACAATCGGAATTCCCATATGCTGTTGATAGAAGCACAAGTAGGCACAGCCATTTTGAAAGAGTACTCAATAGCTAAAGTTGAACTTTGCAAATACGTGTATTTCCATTATAGCATTCTTCACAGCAGTCTCAAACAGGAGTCTAGTGACCATCCATTAAGAGCAGAATGTTTTTAAATGATGACATTGTGACTATTATGTTTCCCTGAAAAATGTGCACACTATAGCTACTGCATAAACTCTGCCCCAAACAAAGAATCTTATCTATATAATTGCCACTGATTCATCAGAGTGCTAACAGAACTTCAGGCAATCCACAGGAAGCATTTGCCTACCTCCTTTCTTTGGTACATCTCCTCCAGTTTCCCTTGGGTTATAAAATACTGGGTTGATTTTTCCTGAAAAGGTCAAGTAACACTGCTTCTAGTTACCACAGTCCTGAGAGAGGGGAGTGTTCCTGGCACTGAAAAAACTGAGAAAGCTGCTAAGCCTTCAAGACAGAGAGGCTGCAAACCATCACAACCTCTGCGGGGAAATAAATCCCTGCTGTCTTTAACGTCATGGCAAAGTTTGTCCTGAAAACATGTGTATAGTTAGAACACAACCAAAGAAGATTCCCCTTCAACACAACCAAAGAAGATTCCCCTTCTGCATTTACTACCCTTCTTACCATCCTGCAAGCAGGCTCAGGACATAGGAGAGCACACACTTGATGATGTTCTGTCTAAACATGCAATGGCTTTGACAGCACAATTACTTCAGTCATTATGAAACGACAGTGACATCCACAAAAGGATAATCTCCAGATTTACAATGATCAAATATATTTTTCCCAACACAATAAAAATCAGATTGTATGTCAGTCATATTGCTTGCTTCTGCTAAGTTGTTAAAATATGTGCAGGGTTGGCATTTTCTCTGAGTGCTTTAAACAAGTGTTTCGTTCCTTAGGTCACTGAGAAAATAGAAGTCACCTCCACATCTGCTTATTTGCCTTACTGTCAGGAGTGGGAGTGGTTATAGGAGAAGAATCTGTAGCAATTTGTAACTCAGGAACACATCAAAATTTAGAAGTGAATTTTCACAGAATTGTTTATGAGTCTTACAAAGGACTAAACAAGGAAGAGAAAAAGAGAATGTACAATAGTCTTTGCTAGTCTGCAGCTCTTAGCGATTGCGATGCAGATGGTATGTTCAAAGTTTCAAATTCTTCCTGACAAAAATCTCAGCAACAAAAAGTCATAACCAGGAAGGAGCTAAATGTAAAGCCACTCATGAAAGCCACTGCTCTGCGTTCAGGGAGCCTGCTACCTGGAAGATACCATTTAGCTGATAGAGACACTCTACACCAAAAAGTCCTAAGGAGTAAACAGTCTTAAACAATAAAGCTCCAATACAAGGCCTTCTCCAATAGAAAATAATACAAGGTATATGCCAAGTGATTTGTTAGTGAAGTCATTAGGACTGAACCCGGTCCTGTGTACCTATGCCCCGCCCACCCCCAGGACAGAATTATGTCCAGGAATCACTCCTAAAGTGGCTTATATTATTAGTAGTCTTAGGAATTGTAGTCTAATAGCCCTTCAAATGAAATGTTCACTTTAACATGTTAAAAAAATGATTTGCACCTGCTTAACCTAATTCCACTGGTTATATGAAACTTCATTGTTTAAAGAGAGATTATACACAAAAGGTACTTGTGTCAGTTCTTAAGGCAAACTAAATTTGATATATAAACAGAGAAAATTACTGCCACTGAAACATACTGAGCTGAAATACTTTGGGAGATGTATTGCATTACCATAGATAACAGGGAGAGATAAAGACTACTACATTCTTATCTTCATTCTTAATGAAATTGAGTTTACAGAGTTCAAATGGCCACTGAGGCTTTAAACTCACTCCGGGTTAAACCAAGGCTGCACCACTCTAAAGATAACAGTGATATGGCAAAGAATCCAAAGGTCTGTTTCTTTCCAACTCAGCACCATCTCCCAGCTTCCTATACTTATGCTCTAAAGGCAGAAAATCAAGTTAGGTTCTCAGAGAAGTTTGTCATTGCAGCAGGCTGTGATTAATACAGAGACTCATAACTGGTAGAATCACTAAGAAAGCGTGGTCCAGTACTTGGCCCTAAGTGGGTCACTGATATCAGCCTTTTCAATGTTTAGAGAATTAGGGAAGAGAGGAAGGAAAGACTGAAAGAGAGAGGAAGGGAAAGTATTGCAAAAAAGATATCTGGTCATAACATGGCCATTACACTCAAAACTCACTAGGTCTGTGGTTACCTGTGCAAGATTGAGCCCATCATCATTTTATCATGAAATGGGGAAGGGCCCATGAGGCCCCACCCCTTCCTGAAAAATTACAAACAATTAGTAGTGTTGGGAGAAGGGCTGTCACCTTCTTCTGTGGTGTAGCCAGTGGTAAGCTGTCTGTGCTCCAGGAAATAACTTTCCACCATGTCCACACAAGCAACTCTTAACAAGCTCAGTGGGTAACACAAATAGAGAAGACATCAAAGTAGGAGGGGGACTTGCTGGGAAGGATTTCAGTTGCAGAAGGAGTGGGGGAAGACAGACGGTGATGGGGGTGGGTTGAAATGACTGAAATTGACTGCACAAACAAATGAAACTGCCAAAGGATAAAACATAGATTAAAGAGCCCCGCCAGGAGACTGGGGAAAAGATGCACAAGTAGAAATAAGTCTCTTTCCATTGCAAGTCCCCAACTATGTCCATTCCTAGATATAATTATATTTCTCAATTAATTAATGCCATATGATTGTCCAATGCTAGAAAGTACACCTCACCTCTAGGCAGCCCCCAAGGACTTCAGTCTCCCTTTTGCATTCCATGCTTGATAACGAGCTGGTGTACTTCTCGCTATCCTACAAATAGCCTCCAACTCCCCACTGAAGGCTCACATGAGGACCAGTTACCGTAGATTTTCTACTGGGCTCCACTGGCTGGTCACAAAATGTATACAGATTCTTAAGAAACAAGGCTATTTGTCTTAAACTATTCCACTATTTCTTTATTAGGAATAAGACTCCTCTCCACTATTGCTTAGATTCTTAGTTGGGGTCATCCTTGTGGATCCCTGGACATTTTCCTAGTGCCAGATTTCTCTTTAAACCTATAATGGCTCCCTCTATTAAGTTATCTCTTTTCTTGCTCTACTTCTCTATTCTTCCCTCAACTCGATCTTCCTGATCCCCCATGTTCTCCTCTCTCCTCCCCCCAAACTCTCAATTTACTCAGGAGACCTTGTCCGTTTCCCCTTCTCAGGGTATCCAAGTATGTCTCTCTTAGAATCCTCCTTGCTTCCTAGCTTCTCTGGGGTTGTGAATTGTAGGGTTATTATCCTATGCTCTATGTCTCAAAGCCACTTATGAGTGAGTACATACCATGCTTTTCTTCCTGGGAAGTGGATGAGGAGTGGGATGGAGGGTTGATGGAGGGCATGGGAGGTCGGGAGGGAGAGGGAACTGGGATTGGTATGTAAAATAAGACTTTTTAGTTTAAATAAAATATTTAAAAAAGGAATAAGAAGACTCAAGGCAGAAGAGATGGTTCACAAGAATGGTCTCTAAGACACTTGCTAAAAACCTAACCCTCTGAAAGTTCTTGAGCTAGGGCCCCACAGTTCAAGTCACCTTTAGCACTGTCTTCTATGCTCCTACAAATGTGGCCCATTCAGGCCTGCTTAAAGCATCCAACGGCTTTTCTAGTCCAATGTCCTAAACTCTTCCATATTCTTCCCCACCAACAGCATGATCAAGCCTGGCACAGCCATATGATACTCCCTGATACCAACTTCTGTCTTAGTGACTATTCTATTGCTGTTAAGAGACACCATGACCCAGGCAACTCTTCTAAGAGAAAACATTTAACTGGGGGCTCACTTAGAGTTTCAAAGGCCACTATCACCACAGCAGTGAGCATGGTAACAAGCAGGAATGCCTGGTGCTAGGAAAGTAGTTCGATTCAAAAGTGGAGGTGGGGACAACACAGATGAACAGGACACTCAGACAGACAGACAGGGGCAGACATACATTGAGCGAAACTGAGGCCAGGCTTGATATCGGCTTAATAGCAATTGAACAGTAACTAAGACGCTCATTTTAAAGAGGTGGTCATTTATTAGTTATTATAATTCATAGTGCCAAGTCACTGAGAGAAAATTGCCTCGAATTACTGTTAAACTATTCAGCCTCATTAGCTTTTCTGTGGACTCATAGTCAAAATGACTTGAGAATCGCTGCAGCTGCCAAGGGAAGTTGGTAGTACAGTACATAACACAGAAGTTCCACCCTCAAACTGTTCTGAGACCATGTATGGGGGAAGCTGTGTGTCCTGCTGATGAGATGGTATGGCTGGTATGCGCTGCTTCACAGGTTTCTTAAGGGCTCTACCCACCCACTGCATGCTCTCTTCCAGCAAAATCTCCCCCCCAA